TTTCTTTGACTAATATTCATAGCACAGCTGTACGTATCTGTATAATTTCATTTCCGTTTGTGTCCTTGGGCCAATTCCCAAGCTGACATTGTTGGGTCAGTTTTACAGCAATGGATGCACATCTGCAGATCAGTGCAGGCTCATTGTTCTGCAGGCAAGAGAGGTTAACGCTGACTTGATGTCTGCAGGGGTTACAGCACGGCCCAAGTTTGCGAGTTCTTCTTGCATTTGTTTTGCCTTTATGTTTTTCTAAAAATTGGCCATCTCTTCTAAGTTTTCAGATCTCTGCTGTTTCTTTTTTTTGAAAAGCAGAGAGACAGGGGAAATAGGTAGCTGGAGAGCAAAAGCAAGTGAAGAAGAGATATCTTTATCCCCAGATGCCTGCAACAGCCAGACCGAAGTCAGGAGACTGGAACTCCATTCGGGTCTCCCATGTGGGCGCAGGGGCCTAAATAACTGAACCACCAACTGCTTCCAGGGTGTGCGTAGGTAGAAAACTAGAAGCAAAAGGGTCAGATTTGTCTGTGTTACTGGTCTTTATAAAATAATAAACTCAATGGTGATTGTATAATTTCTTCGATTTTTAATCCATTTCTCAAATCTCTGTTTTACTAGTTTGTTGAGCTGGAAGTGTACCTCCTTAACTCCTAGACATTTTCTAATGTAAATGTCTTAGTATACGCGCTGCCAAAGTGAGTGCCTAATATAATCTTAAGAAAGGTTTATCCAGAGCCTGGCCTGATAGCCTAATGGTTAAATTCTTACCCTGTGTGTACCAGGATCCCATTTGGGCACTAGTTCATGTTCTGGCAGCCCCACTTCCCATCCAGCTCCCTGCTTGTGGCCTGAGAAAGCAGTCAAGAACGGCCCAAAGCCTTGGGACCCTGCACCCACGTGGGTGGGAGACCTGGAAGAGGCTCCTGGCTCCTGGCTTCGGATCATCTTGGCTCAATGCGCCACTTGGGGAGTGAACCTGTGGACAGAAGTGCTTTTCTCTCTGTCTCTCCTCTCTGTAAATCTGCCTTTCTGATAAAAATAAATACATCTTAGAAAGAAAAGAAAAGAAGAAGGGAGCTAGAAGGGAAGCAGGGCTGCTGGGATTAGAACCGGCGCCCATATGGGATCCCAGGTGTGCAAGGCGAGGACCTTAACCACTGCGCCACGGCACCAGGCCTGAACTATCCCTTTTTTAAAAATGTATTTTGGGCCCAGCGCGGTGGCGCAAGTGGTTAAGGTCCTTGCCTTGCATGCCCCGGATCCCATATGGGTGCCAGTTCTATCCCGGCAGCTCCACTTCCCTTCCAGCTCCCTGCCTGTGGCCTGGGAAAGCAGTCAAGGACGGCCCAAAGCCTTGGGACCCTGCACCCGTGTGGGAGACCCGGAAGAGTCTCCTGGCTTCGGATCGCACAGCACTGGCCATTGCGCTCACTTGGGGAGTGAATCATGGGACGGAAGATCTTCCTCTCTGTCTCTCCTCTCTGTATATGCGCCTTTCCAATAAAAAAATAATGAAAATAAATCTTTAAAAAAATAAATTAATAAAATAAAAATGTATTTTTATTTGAAAAGCAGAGTTAAAGGGAGTAGAGATACAGAGAGATTTTCCATCTGCTAGTTCAATCCCAAATGACCATAACAGGCAGAGCTGGGCTGGTCAGAAGCCAGGAGCTAGTAGCCTGTTTTGGGTCTCCAAGTGGGCATAGAGACCCAGGGACTTGGGCCGCACTCCAGTGCTTTTCCAGGCCATCAGCAGAGAACTGGATTGGAAGTAGAGCGGCTGCAACTCAAACTGGCACCAAAGGGAATGCTGATGCTGCAGGCCGAGGTTTAGCGTGCTACATCATGGTGCTGTTTCCAGCCCTTGCACTTTTAAAACCAATTTTCTCTTTCTATAAAGTATATCTGGGTCTTCAGCTTCACTTGGACATATTTTTAAAGATTTATTTTTATTGAAAAGTTAGATATACAGACAGGAGGAGAAACAGAGAAGGAAGATCTTCCAACTGCAATGGCTGGAGCTGAGCCAGTCTGAAGCCAGGAAAGAGCTTCTTCCGGGTCTTCCATCTGGGTGCAGGATACCAAGGCTTTGGGCTATTCTCGACTGCTTTCCCAGGCAACAAGTAGGGAGCTGGATGGGAAGCGGGCTGCCGGGATTAGAACTGGTGCCCATATGGGATCCCGGCACATTCAAACCAAGGGCTTCAGATGCTAGGCTACTGTGCCGGGCCCTACACTTGGACATTTTGGAAGTTATTTCTTTCTCAGAGTTTCAAGCTTACCTGTAACTTTACAAACCATATTAAACATATGTGTTTTCTATCTTGTGTGTGCTAATTCTGGTACTTTAGCTTTTGCAAGTCTGGTTTTGCCGGCTGCTATGGTATTTCTGCTTGCTTCCGTGTGCACCTGGGACTCCTCAGCTGGGTGTTCACACTTCGCCAGCGGGACTTCTGTGGATTGGAGTTGGGTTCTTCTAGAGAAGATGTGTTAGGTTTGTCCCTGTCACCCGGGGTCACCACCAACTAAGTATCCCTTTATATAAATTGTCTGCTGTTATTTCTGTAAACCACAGGGTGACCCAAACTCAGGCCTCACTCCTCTGCCCCCCAACCCCTCACAGCAGAGCAAGCTTGTTACAATTCTGGGGAAGTTTTTTGTCTCCCTCCGATCCAGTAGCAAAGTCAAGATAAGGCAAGATTCTTTGCCGTCTTTCTCTGTGGCCACATTTTTGTTCACCCTCTTGTGTGGACTGCTTATTGGTCCCCCTCTTCCCACTGGGGGGACCTGGGTCTTCCCTATGGCACCCTCTATTCCACGCAATACTTTGCTAGCTCAAGTTTACCTGAGGGTGGCCTGGCAGCTACTCCCACAGCGAAAGTCAATGTCAAGTTCATCTTTTGCCCAGATTACTGTTTGCATAGTCGTTACGTACTCTAAGCTCAATGCTCTTGCACTTTCCTGTGCTGACCAACCTTGGAACAGCTCTCACTGGGACATCTACCAGCAGCCCATGAGACATGGGATCAGGATGTGTCCTGGGCCACACTGGGCTATGTCCCTCTGGGGGCTCCACATGGGAAGCTCTGTGGGTTTAGTCATGAGGTTTGTAGACACGACAGACAATGTGGACTCATGAACCTATGGGGGCCAGTAGGGCATGAGAGAGAGAGAGAGAGAGAGAGAGAGGAGGTCTCTGCATCTCGGTCTCTCCCACCCTTTCCTGAACACCCACAGTTTCCAGCTACTTCCTCAAGGCAGCTTGGAAAGGCGGACTGTCCGTCTTCCCAGCCTAGCTCTTGTCTCTTAGGAAATGGATATCTGCCCTGGTGGTGGTTCTGGGCCTGATTAGTCTTCTAGAATTCTCAGAGAACTGACGCTGTAATGTTGAAGGCTAAGCCTTCACCTGTGGCAATGGCATCCCTATGGGAGCATCAGTTCACATCCCAGCTGCTCCACTTCCTACGCAGCTCCCTGCTTGTGCCTGGGAAAGCAGTAGGGGATGGTCCAAAGTCTTGGGCCCCTGCAAATGCATGGGAGATCCAGAAGAAGTCCCTGGCTTCGGATCAGCTCAGCTCTGGCCATTGCGGTCATGTTTGAGGGTGTCTCTCCTTTTTATAAATCTGCCTTTCCAATAAAAATAAATTTGAAAAAAAAATTATAAGTAGGTTCGATCAACCCAAACAAGGAGCATCAAGTTTCTGATCATATTATGTGAGGGGTTACAAGTTTTCTTATTTGTTTCTTTGTTTTTCTTATTTGGAAGCAGTGAGATAGATCTTGCACTCATTTGCTCGCTGCACCCGGTTGCCATAGTCGCTGGGGCTGAGACTGGTGAAAGCCGAGAAGTCAGTGCACTTCTCCCTGCTCCACTGAAGCGTGCACAACAGGAAGCTGGAGCTGAGAGCAGAGCTGGGACCCAAACCGGGGCACTCCCTTCTGGGATGCAGGCGCACCAAGGGACCTCTCAGCGGCTGCACCACCGCTAATGGGAGCTGCTGTGGAGGCAGAAGTCCAGCGAAGCCCCAAACCCATCTCGAATAGCAAACTCATCCAATATCCTGTGTCCCAAGTCAAGCCTCAGGACACTTGGATGCTGCTGCTCCTACCCTGGCTGCTGCTGTGTTTTCTTAAGGGAAAGCTCACAGCTTTCAGTAGTCTCCAAGAATTATTTTTGTTGGTTGGTTGGTTGGTGTTTTTAAGATTTATTTTGTTTACTTTTATTTGAAAGACAGAGTTACAGAAAGAAGGAGAGACGAAGAGAGAAGTCTTTATCCGCTGATTCAATCTCCAAATGGCCACAACAGCCAAAGCTGGGCCAGTCTGAAGCCAGGAGCTTCTTCTAGGTCTCTCATGTGAGTGTGGGGACCCATACACTTGGACCTCCCTCTGTTGCTTTTCCGCATGCATTAGCAGGAAGCTACAGTGGAAGTGACGCAGTGTGGACTTGAACCAGCACCCATATGGGATGCCAGTCTGGTGATGGCTGGTGCCCGTGGGACACTGCAAGGTAATTGTGAGGGGAAGGTTCGTGTTTTCCCTTTGTGCTTAGACTTGAGTTTCTTAACTGCACTCAGGACTTGCTGTGTTTTCTGTCTGTCCCTCAGCCCTGGATTTTGGGGGAGTCTGAGCCCCCTTCCATTTGTTCCTCAGTGTGGGTTCAATCTGTGCGAACCGTCCAGCCCTCCCCATCTTGATCTCTCTGTGTACATCTGACCTGGCGTTTCCATCCAGCTCTCTGGGAGGCACCTGTGCCTCTGTGAGGTGAGTGAGCAGGTACAGCCCAAGTAGGGGCCTGGCAGGGACCAGGACAGCTTCATGGGGCGGAAGACCTGAGCTAGAGCCATGCTCAGCCAAGTTCCACACACACAGGTGTCTCTTTGCTAGTCCCCTCCCCCTCCTCACTTCATGTAGCCCGCATCAAGAGTCCCCAGGGACAGCCAAAATGCTCCATTACGGTGCTCACCCCTTCCCCCTGCTCTCCTCTTTCAGCTCCTGGAGAGATGGCCCCACTGCCAATGGGGGTGTTCCTATGGCTGTTGCTGCTGCTGCCACTGGGTCACGCTGCTCCCAAGGATGGAGCCACCAGGTAAGGGGACAAGGAGGCCAGGGTCATGGGTGGAGAGCAGGGAGACTCTGGAGAATCTGAGAGTGTGGTGGGCCCCTCTAGGAGGCAGGAGACATGGCAGGGGGAGATTGGGAGACCCGTGATCTTTATCCCCCTACCCCCTGTAATCTACGTTGTGCCTGTTAGAGTTCACTAAGTGGCATTCATTGCCTGCTGAACCCTCTTGGAACAGAGCGCTGAGTTCCAATGCAGAGGCCATGAACTGGAAAGGGTTGCAGGTTCCTTTCAAGATGGTACCAGGGGGCCTCCTGAATGGCATCAAATACCTCCCTGGAGGTCCCAATCACTGCTGCCGTGTGAGGCAGTTGCTGGTAGGAAGGGAGACTAGACAGGAACAGCAATGACCAGAGCAGCTGGGAGCTCCCTAGCATCGGGACCTGCATGGATCTGCACACACAGGCAACCTTGTCCAAAAGCATGGACACAGCTGAGCTTCTGAGCCTGATGGAAACTCAGAAGTCCTATGCCCCGTGCTTGAAACATAAAGAGTCAGTTTTTGGTTTTTATTTGAAAGGCAGAATTATAGAGAAGGCAGGAGAGACAGAGACAAACTAAAGCTCTTCCATTGCTGGTTCACTCCTCAAATGGCCAGAGCTGAGTCAGGGAAAAGCCAAAAGCCAGGAGCTCCATCCGGGTCTCCCACATGGAGCAGGGGCCCAAGCACTTGGACCATTCTCTGCTGCTTTGCCATTGGCAGAAATGGGAAGTGGAGCAGCCAGGACTTGAACTGGTCCCCATTTGGGATACTGGCATTGCAGCAGTAGCTTGAGCCACCTGCTACACCACAATGCTGGGTTTATTTCATGGATCATGGGTCTATGCAAACTTGAGTGCTTAGCTGTGCACCTGTCTCCCAGTGCCACAGGGGAAGGATACTGCGACCCACGTGACTCTGCTACTAAGTGGGCTGCTTGCTTTCTCAGGCTTCCGTTTTCTGAGCTACAGTCTAGTTTACGCAGCTGCCTGGAGACATTGAGAGAAAAGGTCTGCTTCCCCGTCCCTGAAATCATGCAGTGAGGGGAGCAACTCCCTTTGAGTCTGGGGAGACAATCGTGCCAGGAGGTGGGAGGCTGGCTTTGGGGGTGGGACTTTGTGGGGGACTCTGCAAAGCCCATGCTCCTCTTCCTCCTCCAGGCCAGACCCAGAAGTACAGCCCTTGCCCAACCCCTTCCAGCCCGGCCAGGAGCAGCTACGGTGAGTAGGCTGCGTGGGCATGCGTGATGGGCCTCAGTGAGGAGTTGGGCTCAGGGATGCAGCCTGGCTGCTGAAGCTGACTTTTATTTTCCCTCTTTCCCATCAGACTGCTGAGGAGCTACCTGAAGGGCCTGGAGAGGATGGAGGAGGAGCCGGGGCACATGAGCCGGGAGCAGGGTGAGCAGCTGGGCTGGCGGCTGGGGTGGGAGGCAGCCCGAGCTGGGACTGGCCCCTGCACTCCATGTCTTTTTTGTCTCTTATTTATTTAGTTAAGTTTACTTAGTTATTTATTGCTCATCATGAAGTATTCATCATTTATTTCTTCATTATTTATATAAGTTTATTATTCATGTGAGTTTATTTACATAAGTTTATTTACTTATTTTAATCGAAAAGGCACATTTACAGAGAGAAGGAAAGACAGAAAGAAAGGTCCTGTGTCTGCTGGCTTACTCCCCAAGTGGCCACAATGGCCGGAGCTAAGCCGATCTGAAGCCGTAAGCCAGGAACCTCCTCTGGTCTCCCATGTGGGTGCAGGGTAGCAAGACCTCAGGCCATGTTCCACTGCTTTCCCAGGCCACAGTCAAAGAGCTGGAAGAGAGGTAGAGCAGCCGGGATACAAACTGGCACCCACATGGGATCCTGGCACGTGTAAGGCGAGGACTCCAGCCACTAGGCTACTGCTCAAGGCCTTAATCATTTATTTTTATCTGAAAGGCAGAGGGCAGAGTTACAGAGAGAGAGAGCATTTTCATCCACTGGTTCACTCTCCAAATGGCTGCAATGGCCAGACCCAGGTTGGTGCATTGCCAGGAGCCAGGATCTTCCTCCAAGTCTCCCCATGGGCCCAAGTACTTGTGCCATCCTCCACTGATTTCACAAGCTATTATAGGGAGTTGGATCCAAAGTGGAGCAGCTGGGACTTGAACCAGTACCCATATGGAATACTGGCTCCATAGGCAGTGGTTTAACACACTGTACCACAAGGCCAGGCCCTGGATTCCATTTAGACTCTCATCTTCTCCACTCTATGAATGCCCATGTAATAATTTGTCTGATATGGCAGCAAAATCCTTATGGCAGGCTAACGGGGTAAGGAGCTCACAGTTGGGACACTGCAAGTCCAGTGTGCTGCAGGCTCTGGTGAGGGCCACTGGCTGCATCCCCTCCTACCAACAGCCATCATAGGAGCCCCTGTGGAAGTGAGAGGGCAGCTTTCCAGCCAGACAGGAAGCCAAGGGGACATTGAGGGTCCACACTGCTGCCCAAGGATGTGCCCCCTAGTGATGTAGGGAGCCTCCACTCATCAGCAGCCACACTAAGGACCAAGCTGCCAGCTCAGGAGCCTTTCAGGGCCACTCAGACCATCCCAGGCCATGATAGTGACTCTTCTAACCCGCCCTCCCCTTCCCCAGTTCTCCTCTACCTCTTTGCCCTTCACGACTATGACCAGAGTGGCCAGCTGGATGGCCTGGAGCTCTTGTCCATGCTGACAGCGGCTCTTGCCCCTCAGGCTGCTGACTCACCCAACACCAACCCGGTAAGCTCTGTGGGATAGAGGTTCCCCCACTGTTCCCTGCTCCCTGTAAAACACACCCAGTCCCCTCAGTTTTTGCTACCCAACTCTCAGTAGCTTTCCCATGAGAGAGACGGAGGGGGGGGGGGGGCCTCAATGCTGGAGTGGGGTCAGGGAGGTTCGCAGCTCCGGGAACGCCCCTGATCATTGGGGAGCATGTCCCCATGATGATTCTGTGCTTCTTCAGGTGATCCTCGTTGTGGACAAGGTGCTTGAGACCCAGGACCTGGATGGAGATGGGCTCATGACCCCCGCAGAGCTTATCAACTTCCCACGGGAGGCCCCCAGCCACACGGAGCCCAGAGAGCCCCTGGCTCCATCTCCCCAGGAACCACTGCTGGCTAAGGGCCCCTCGAGACAAGAAACACAGGGAGCTGGGGGTCCCCAAGAAGTAGCCGCAGGCCAAGCAGAAGGCGAAAGGGAGCCATTGGAGCCAGTGCCAGAGGCCAAGGTTGTGGCAAGGGCTGAAGGAGAGGCCCCGAGTCCTCCCTCAGGGGAAGCCAGAGGCCAGGTAGAAGCCAGGAACGATGGAGATGCCAGAGAGACCCCCAGGGAGACCCTGGCAGCTAAGGGCACCCCAAATGTGCTTGAGGCACACAGCATTCAATTGGAGAATGATGAGATGTAACTTTAGTAACTCCGCTGGCACCCCGTGGTGTTTCAGTGCCTGACCACAAGCCCTGAGAGGGGGCTGTGTGTGTTGGGACGAAGATCCGATCTGTGTCCTCTCTTGGGACCCCCAGTTGATAGCAGGTCTTCCTGTGTGGCTCAGGGGGAGCCTTAGTTAGGGAACAGGTATAGGGCCCAGACAATCTATAACAACCTGACGCATTCAGCATCCTGGGCAGTTAGTCCCATCTGGCCACACCATCACCAGGGGTTAGGGTCCAGCAAGGCCTCTTGCGGGAACAGGGATTCAGCTTTCCCAGCATCCTCAGGGCTCAGTAGTGCACAGGAAGCTGCAGGCAACTCCCAAAAAGAAAGCTCATTTTGTCCCTGAGCCTATCCTGCTGGCCCCTGTGCCTGACCCCCACCACCTGTGTCTGCCCTCTCACCCCAGGAATATTAACTACCATTAAACAAATGCTTGTCTATGTGTCCATCTACTTGAAAGGTAGAGCAGAGAGAGGGAGGGAGAGACAGACACACAGAGATTGACCTGCTGGTTCCCCCTCCACCACCACCAAATATACATACAACAGCCAAGGCTGGACCAGGCGGAAGCCAGCAGCCAGGAACTTCATCCAGTTCTCCTCTGTGGGTGGCAGAGGCCCAAGCACTTTGAACATGATTGTCTGCCTCCCACAACACAGTATTAGGAAGCTGGATCGTTAGGGGAGCAGCCAGAACTCAAACCAGCACTCTGAGATGGGACATGGTGTCCTGAGCGGTGACTTAATGTGCCACACCACAACGCCCACCTCAGAGCCTGGTTCACATTGAGCGCCGGACTGGGCACACGATGTGCTACTTGATTTCACCCTTGTACCAATGCCATGAACAGACAGCACTTCTCTGCCTCCCAGAGAAGGATACCAAGGAAGCCAAGAGCACACTCAGGTGCCTACAGCTAGTTAAGTGGCCAGGTTTGCATCTGGTTTGACACTAAAGCTGAGGTTCCTCATTTCCATGGCTTTGAACGCACTACCACAAGTCTGTTATTGGAATTGGCCCATGGCCCAGCACAGTACCCTAGTGGCAAAAGTCCTCGCCCTGCATGTGCTGGGATGCCATATGGGCGCCAGTTGTATCCTGGCTGCTCTACTTGCTTTCTGGTTCTCTACTTGTGGCAGTTGAGGACAGCCCAAAGCCTTAGGACCCAGTACCCATGTGGGAGACCCAGAAGAGGCTCCTGGCTGCTGGCTTTGCACCAGCTCAGCTCCAGCCATTGCAGCCACTTGGGGTGTGAACCAGCAGATGGAAGATCTTTCTCTGTCTCTCCTTCTCTCTGTAAATCTGACTTTCCAATAAAAAATGGCTATATCTTTTTTTTTAACCTTTATTATATGAATAAAGAACCTGAGACGATTTAGCTTGATTTTTAATAAGGTGTTTCCCAAGCATTATTTTGACCAGGTACCCAAGCTGATGAACATTGACAGTGTCCATTTATATAAGCATACTTGAAGTTACCAAGAATTTAACCATTTTCTAATATTACCCTTATTTTTCTCCACTGCTCATTCACATATGTCCATTAACACATGGAATGTTGTATTACATTCATTGGTTTGTGTGTGTTTCTGGAAAACTGCATTATCTGTGAAGACCGATTTCCATGCTGGTATTGCATGCATCCAGATAGTAATGCACAGAGGTACAGAATTAGAGAGCATATTCAAACACCAGCACACCCCATCCCCTTTTATTGCTTTTTTTTTTTTTTTGCTTAGTACTTCTTAAAACAAAAATCTTGGATTCAACATTCAACTGCCAAAGGAGTGACAGCAGGGCACATAGTGAGGGATTGAATGAAACCGTAAACCCTAGCTGGTGCGGAGCAGTATATACTGGTTTGTATATATGTATCTTAGTATCTAAAACTCTTCTCAACCGAGTCTTGCAAACAATCTAACACCAACATTACTTAGGTTGAAATGAACACAGGATGTAACAGTGTATTTGGGAACTCAAGACTTAAATTCCAATTGAGCGCTCTGAGCGAAAGTAGTACTAACAACTGTGCTACATTTCTGCTGCATTAGGTTATTTTGGACAAATAGTTCTAAACTATACTTCGCTGGGAATAGACAGGAAAGCATGCCAGCCAGTTAAAGGCTCAATAATACATTAATTTTATTCCCACTGAGTTTGTAACCAATAAAAAAGGTAAACCAAGGAAAATAATCATATTTAAATGGGCCTCTTATGCTTGAAAAATAAAAAAAAAGTACCCAACTAATACGCTCAGATATGTTAGGCTTAGTGGTCCTATGTATTTTGAAGTGTTTCAGAATGTTTTTTTAAGATAAGAATGGAAAAACACCCACTATCCCATCCCCAAATTTAAATAGAGGGCAGTGGACATTCTTTATACCCCAGTTCAAATGTGACCAAGGTAAAATGCAGAATGGAAACGTTCTTAACACAACTAGGACTCAGCAAAATCTAACACACTAAAATCATATGATTACATTTTGAAAGAAAATGCACAAAACCAAAGAGGAATTTTGAGATTTTTCATTTGAAGTAATCTTAACGCTATTAAATTCACAAATATGCTAATTTAAATACTCAATCCTATTTATCTAAAACACACATTGCAAACATACAAATATCTATTCTCTCCACGTGTCAATGCCCATTCATATCATGGTTTGGAATGGGGAGAATGGATTCCCCTTAACCCGCAAATCAGTAGGTGTTTTTTTTACAGTTAACACTAGCAAAATTCATACAAAATATTGATTAACAATGATCTTCAAAACTACATTGTGGTAAAGTTTCTGTACTAAAATGTAGAAAAATTGAACTACACAAATATTGAAAACTTAAAAATTTCTTAGCTTTTTATTCCTGGTACCACTACCACAATTTACAGGGCAATATACTACCTGATGTAATGAAAAGAAAAATAAAGACAAAGCTACAACAGATTAAAAAAAACCCTCAGGAATGTACATCTAATTGACACTACATTTCATTAATCAATAGCTGCACTTTTTGCAAACTGTGGCTATGACAGTCCTGAACAAGAAGGGTTTCCTGTTTAAGCTGCAGTAACTTTTCTGACTATGGGTCATCGTTCCTCCTGTGGCAGATTTTTACAGTTCCTCTAATGCATTTGGGATGACTGTCTCAAAGGAACCTGCAGTTTTCCTTACAACTCCTCGCACTCTCTCCTGCTAAGAACTGTAGCCTTTTTCTGTTGTGTTTAAAACCTTCCGCTACCATATCCACTTCTACCGCCAGATCCATAACCACCACCATAGAGAATGCCCGAGCTTCTCCCACCAAAACTGCCCCCTTTCCTGGGGCCATAATTTGATTGCTGTTGTCCATTATAATTTCTGAAATCATTGTAGATTCCACCACCACCATAGTTGCCTCCAAAATTTCCTCCTTCATTGTAAACATCATATCCACCACCTTGGTTTCCATATCCTGGTCCACCACCATGCCTCCCCTGGTACTGTAACCAGGACAACCGCTACGGTTGCCACCATCATTTCCAAAACCATGATATCCACCATCACCTCCTCCATAACTTCCTCTGCTGCCACCATCACCATCATCACCTCCTCTTCCACCAAAGTTTCCACCACGGCCAAAATGACTTGCCCCACCGCCAAACATTCCTCCACGACCCATAAAGTGGCCAGCTCCACCTCCACGGCCTCCCGGTGATCCAGCAGCATACTGCATCTCTTGTTTAGAAAGGGCTTTTTTCACTTCACAACTATGCCCATTAATAGTGTGGTATTTCTGAACAACAATTTTATCAACTGTATCATGATCATCAAAAATTACAAAGGCAAATCCTTTTTTTTTTTTTTGCCACTCTGCCTGTCTTCCATTAACTTCTATGGTTTCAATCTTACCATACTTTTCAAAGTAGTCTCTCAAATTATATTCCTCTGTATCTTCTTTAATACCATCCACAAAAATTTTCTTCACTGTTAGATGGGCACCAGGCTTTACCGAATCCTCTCTAGAAACAGGTCTCTTTGGTTCCACAACACGCCCATCAACCTTGTGTGGTCGAGCACACATTGCTGCATCCACCTCTTCAACTCAAGAGTAAGTCACAAAACCAAACGCCCTGGAAGGTTTTGTCTGGGGGTCTCTCATTACCACACAATCTGTCAGTGTGCCCCATTTCTCAAAATGTTCTCTCAAACTATCATCTGCAGTTTCAAAGCTCAGACCACCAATAAACAGTTTCCTCAACTGCTCTGGCTCCTTTGGCTCATGACCCTCCTCCCCGTGGCAGCCACGACGGCCAGAGTCAGCCTGGGGGCGACCCAGCGGCTGTATTACCTCCATTTCGAGACCAGACTCACCTCTTCCAACTTGAGTTCAATATGGGCAAAAATGTATATATCTTAAAAAAATAAAAAAGAAAGAAATCAGCCCACGGCACAGGCCATTTTGTCACCATCCTGAGGTGGAATAATGTATCCAGAATGGATGTATATTTCAGCTTATTGCTCTGGTCCAAAGTGGAGAGGCCATATCTGCGGCTGGCCCTCCTGCTGGCTGGAGCCTGGAGGTGGCACAGGGCCTTGCATAGTAAGACATAAAGGGGTGTATGTGTGTGTGTTTGCTGGTCTTTTTTTTTTTTTTTTTGATTATTTTTATTTGAAAGGCAGATTTTATAGAGAGAGACAGAAAAGGCCTTCCATCCTCTGGCTTACTCTCCTAATGGCCACAATGGCTAGAGCTGGGCTGGTCCAAAGCCAGGAGCCAGGAGCTTTTTTTTGGGTCTCCCATGCGGGTGCAGGGTCCCAAGGGTTTAGGCCATCCTTTTCTGCTTTCCCGGACCAAAGGCAGGAAGCTGGAAGGGAAGTGGAGCTGCTGTGATATAAACTTACACCCATATGGGATGCCAATATCACAGGACAAAGACTAGCTTGCTGTACCACTGGACCAGACCTGACCAGCAGCAATCAATCAGGGGCTCCAACC